GTGCGCCCCGACTCCCCTCGCAGAGGCCCAGTCAGCTTGTCTCTCGCCTCCTCCGACAGCTGACTCCAGGCTCCATCCGGGGCCCTCCGGTCTCGGCCCTCCGGTTCGCCGGCCGACCCTCCGTCATCTCGCGGCGCCTCCCCTCCCTCGGTCCCCTCCCTCGGGTACTCCAGCCTCCGACGGGGCGATTCTGGGTCCCCCAGGGTCCGTGTGGGTCCGTGCGGCGACGGCCACGCCGGCGGCGAGGGCGGCGGCGGCTGCGGGGGGGCGGGTATGGCGGTGGCACAGGCGGTAGCAACGTCCGCCTGCTAAAGAAGCACAGCGACGAATGCGGCACCGGCGACGTATGGCAGGCTGGTCATGACGCAGTTATAGGGTGTTGTGTGCTGTCAGAGTGACTCTGTGTGTGTCAGGGATAGTCAGGTCCGTCCATCAGAGCTCCAGTAAGCTCGGAGACACCCCATTAGCGCGGCTCGACCTCTTTGAGTCGCTGCCTTCCCGGCGGTTTGGCTGTAAGTAGAGCCTCTACAACAAACTCTACAGCAAAATCGCGCTCTACATCGCTCTACAACGCACCCGCCTCGTCACGCGGCGGATGTAGAGCTCTACAGCTCTAGAGCTCTACAGCTCTACAGCGCTCTCCAGCGCTCTACGTCTCTACAGCTCTACAGCGCTCTACACGCTCTACATCCTCTACACCCTCCCTCAGTGAACGACTCGAACAGCAGCAAACCAGCAGTTGCACGTCGACGTCCTTGTCCTCCCTGGCGTAGCGATACTCGCCGCCATAGGACGGTATGCGGCGGTCGCCGCCCACCACCGGCCCCCCCCTAGTATGCCAGCGACCCGTCTGTCGGGGCGGGGCCTCTCTTTTTCCCACCGTCTCCGCACCCACGGCCGCACACAGATGGGCCTGCCGCCGCTTGGGCGATGCAGCGGCGACGCTCGCTCAGTCGGCAAGGGCGGTGGCGGGGGGGTGAAGGCGCGCGGCCGGTGGCGGCAGCGGGTAGGGCACGCACGGCGGCGGCGCACATCTGCCACCCACCATGCAGCATCACAGGGTTGCTCGGAGGGAAGAGGGATGCGCAGCGCGCGCGGGAGCTGGGCCGGGCCGCGCATTCCTGGTGAGATTCGTCCCGAGTCTGTGTCAACCACACTCATGGGAGATGAGGCAGGCGCGGCAGACCCGCAACCAGTCGGCGCAGAGCTGGAGGAAATCTGGGACTGCGCGGAGGAGGCGCCCGCACGTAGCGCGGCTGTCTGAGCATCAACCCCTTGGTCCGCCGCGGCGGGAAGATCCGATGGCCCCGCCATGCACGCGCGCGAGCTGCGGAGAGAGGGACCGCTTGGGAAGGCTTGGCGTGCGTGGTAGAGAGGGTGCGCGATTTCTTTTTTGAATGAAGGCCGGAATGTCTTGCTTGCTTGCCAATGAATGTGCCTGCTGAGCACGAAACAAAACAAACGAACCAGGAGAAAAATGCCGGCTGCCTCGATGTTGACACGAAGACACACCGCATATCTCAGATTCTCAGAGAGAGAGATTTTCAGTTTGTAGTTGATTCTCTGTGGATATTCCTTCGAGAAAGAGAGAGAGAGTCCTTCGCGCTAGAGAACTTGTCATTGAGAAGGAAATGCGCCCTGTGGCGCTGCGCGCTGGGGAGAGCGAGGTTGATTGCGTGCGAGCCCTTCACCCCGCACATTCACAGCAATCACAAGGACTGGTTCGCGCACCTGGAGCTCGTCAAGGCGCGGGATGTGCACGTCAAGAACTTCCCGTCCCTCGGAGACAGCGCCGTCAACAACCGCGAAGCCGCGCGCCTCAATCTCCGCCTCAACGCCTTTCGCCGGCAAGGCCCTCGATGTCCGTGTCGACGGTACGTACGCCACCGCCCTCTCCTCCGACGCCCTCCAGGACGAGCTCCAGCGGAAGCTCGGCCTTTGGCTCTCCGTGGCGCTTCCCACCCTTCGGGTCGCGCTCGAGCGGGGCATGCCAGTCGATTTCTTCGGCGACTACCTTTACAACAAGGCCCACCACTGGCGGCCCCACGACGGCGTCCTCGCCGCCTGGGCGGACGCGATGCGCGCCCCGGCCAACGCGCCGGTCGTGCACGGTGACAAGGAGAAACCAGAGCTCACCCGGCAGTACAACGAGGGGTACAAGGTCGACCTCGCAGAACCCCATGCAGGACCGGGAGGATGCGATGAAGTAAATGAACTGAGCCCTGGCTGTCAGGCTGTCAGGTGCTGTCAGGTGATCTGTCGGGCTGTCGGGCAGCTGTCAGGCACTGTCAAGTGCCTCTGTCAGACCAGCTGTCAGGTGCTGTCAGTGCTGTCGGGTGCTGTCGGGTGCGTGTCTGACAGGCGAGGGGCTCTGTAGCTGTCGGGTGCTGTCGGAGCTGTCGGGTGTTGCTGTCAGACGCTGTCGGAGCTGTCAGAGCTGTCAGGCTGCTGCTGCTGTCAGACGTTGGGCTGTTACTGTCAGGTGCTGTCAGGTGGTGCTGTCGGGCTGCCCTAGCTGTCGGGGTGCTGTCAGGCTCTGACACACACCAGCCACACTTATGACACTATCAAGAGGAGACCAGCGGGTACGCAGCTGCCCCCCTCCTACGGCGTGATCACGCCGGCAGGGGCGGCCGCCTGGGGAGCGCAGATGGCGGCGCAGGCGCAGGCCGCGCCGGCGGCACAGACGGCGGCGGCCACCCCCACCCAGACGCCGTAGGCATTGACTGTAGGGCACCAGAAGGGTAGCTGGTAGCTTCATTTGTAGTAGCACAGCCGCCGGTGCTGGAGAGGGGTCCGCAGAGGTGGGGCGGGAGGGTTGAGAGAGAGACCCATGACCATCCCATGACTGCATGGACCACACTCACATGTACATGCACATGTCTTTGCATGTAATAGTTTTGTTATACCCTCATGGGGCACAAGAAAGAGGCTCTACGGGGGGGGTCTGACTGTGTACGGTCTGTGCTGCTGTCGGGCTGTCAGCGCTGCTGTCAGGCCACTGTGTGCTGTCGGGCTGTCAGGCAGCTGTCAGGCTGTCACGTTAGGGTCTGACAGCGACGGAGCGCCTCGCCTGTCAGGCTCTGCTGTCAGGCTGTCAGATACGTGCTGTCAGACTGCCAGAGAAAGTGCTGTCAGCGCTGTCAGGCTGTCGGGCACTGTCAGGCGCTGTCCGGGGTTTGCTGTCAGGCTGTCAGACCAGGGCTCAGTAAATGAAATCAAGCTCTCTGGACGCCCCTCCTCAAGACCTCCTCGACGGGCGTTGGCAACGCCTCGAGCGGCGGCACGCCCGCCTCCGTTGGCCACTCCTACGCCTTCGGCAGCACCGAGGAGAGAAGGCCCGCCGCCTAAACATGGGCTGCAAGGCGCGCGGGCAGCCCGGCCAACCCTTCGACCACAAGAGTGGCCACGGCTACGTCAAGGGGCATCGTGGTCTCTACCACGACGCGATCTTTGTCAAGCGCAACAACTTCAACCTGCTGCTCCACGAGACGTTCGGCGGCGGCTACTCGCCCACCGCTGTTCTCAAGCTGCGCCGCCTCGCGCGCAAAGTCGCGCGCGGCAGCGTCGACCGCACGGCCTACTCGCCCAAGCGCCAAGTACTCGCTCTCTTTTATGTCCCACAATGCAGAGCGCATCTCTCTCTCTGTTGTGCGAGGCGTGAACCGCGCCATTCGCTCTCACCTGGCAACCCTGTCTGCACGTCTCGCGCGCGCGTGAACAGGGCTCCAGGCCCCAAATGAGTGTGAGAGTTAGAGTGAAAAGAAAACACCTCTCGTTCACAGGGCTCCCCTGAACAACACGCCGTTGGGGGCATCTCCTCTTTGCCCAGACCGCTCTCTTTTGCTGTTCATGGTGAGAGCGCACGGAAACACTGCGCAGGGCTCACCGCGTAGCGACCGCGTTTCCTCCCTCCCAGCGCCGCGTGTTTGCCTTCCCGCACAGGGTTGCCAAGGCTCGAAGATGCCGCCGGCCGTGTCGGATGACGACATGGACGTTTCCAAGCACGGCGCGGATGCTATGCCGTGGGCGGCGGACGCAGCGCCCGACAAGCCCTTCGACTACGGGGAGACGGACGACGCCGCTTCGAAAGCGAGCGACGAAATCCCAACCGACGCTTGATCGTTCACCTGCAGCATGACGGCGACGTCCAAGGTCGAGAGGCAATAGAACGAGAGGGGGGCATTGGAACGAGAGTTGGAGACTCTTGGCGACGATTGGCATTTCCTCGTTAGCGCACACAGTGTATTATCCGCCCCCGCGACCACCCGTGCTGGCCGTCAGTGGGGGCGGGAGTAGTTGCGCATGGCGTGGGGGGGGGGGGGGATGCGCGTCGCCGCTCCGCGTGGCGTCTTTCGAAGCCAACAGGACGGCATATCATCACACCAAAATGTACCTTCCGCCATTTTCCACACCCAGACACACAGAGACGGTGACACCGCGCGAGATTGATAGACGATTTCACACCACACACGACACACGTGAGTTGAGAGTTCCGTGAGAGGCTTGAAGTACTGTTGCGACTTGCGTGTGTTGAGCTGATGCTGAAATGCTGTCTGCACAGTCTGCTGCGTGTACGTGTGGGTTTTGCGGGTGCGCACCCCGCGCGGCCACTGACTGGCGCGTGCGGCACGCGGCACCTCGCAAGACTCTCTGACGCTGCGTGGGCGCGCGCAGACCACAGTCACGAAAGTCCCGCAGCTCAGCCCCCCGGCAGCGCGGCTCGTCTCTGCGTCTTCATCTCGCGGCGCCAGCCTCGCCCAAAGTTGCCGCGCCGGGCAAAGACTGACGAGATGCACGCCTGGAGCAGGGGAGGGGGAGAGGGCCGCTGTCGCGCGCGCTCTCGTGGTGTCGTGCCACGCTCTTCTCTTTCTTCCGTCTATCTCTTTCTGCGCGTGGGAAGGCGTGGGGGGGAGGGGAGTGGGGGGGACGGGAAGGGAGTCGCCTCGTGGTCGTACGATTGGTGTGAGACTAGGAGTGGTCGTGAGAAGGAGAGTGAGTCAGCACCTCGCCTCGTGGTCGTAGGGCAAGTCCGCCTGCTGCAGGTGCTCCCAGGCGTACGCAAACCCGCTCGGCGTCTTGAGGTTGTGCACGAGCAGCGACCTGCGCGGGACGCAAGGCGGCGGACGTGTCCTGGACGCGTCCGGCTGGGGGGGGGGGGGGCACGAGCAGCCACCGGTTGGCGGCGGGCCGGTAGGTGCCGCCGCCGCGCTGCTTGCGCGCGCCCTCGGTGTTGTGGCATGCGAGGTCGTCGCGCCCCTCCGTGCGGCAAACCTTTGCGGTGGGGCAGGCGGGAGGTGACCCGAGATCGGGCGAGATCGGGCGAGATCGGGCCGAGATCCGCTTGCGGCGCGCCTTTGCTGTCGAGCATGCGATGTCGTGGACGAACGGGCCTGTGGGACAGCTCTCTGCTGACGGCGTGGCTCTCTCTGGAGCGGTGCAGTTGGACAAGAGGGGGCCGATGTCGACGTAAAGCACCTGCGGAGAGGCGACCGAAAGGGGGGGGGGGAGGGGTTCTAAGGGTGTTGGAAGCCCCCCCCCACAAGGGAGAAAAGAGGCCCGCGAAAAAAAACACGGGGCGAGAACCCTTGGGAGGGGGGAAAGGGAAAAAAAAAAAAACAAGGGGCCCCCCCCAAGGGGGGGGAAAAAAATCCCCCCCCCTTGGGGGG